AGCTCAATGTCGATGCTTGGTTGCTTTGCCACACCTTTTTTGCCTTGTATCCAGGGGCTGCGGTTCAGATGCTTGAAAGCTTCAAGACTTTACTGCATGTGCCAAAAACATCTGAGTTGCCGAGCTGAATTCACAGAGCAAGAGAGAGACTTACAGAAACATGAAGAAGATAAGTAAAGATAGAGAGCGGGTAGTCATGGGGACCAGCCAAAACAAAAAAAAACAAAAAGTTCAGACCCATGGAGAGGGACCCAGGAGAGGCTGGACAGGAGACATAGGTCTGAACTTGTTGTTTTTCTTGTTTTTGGGCACTTGTTGGTCTGAACTTGTGTTTTTTCTTGGTGTGTCTATTTAATCTATTGTTTTCAGAAGCTATTTTGCATTTGGTAATGTTTACATATCACTATCCTCACGAAAACATGCGTTTCAACAATCTACACCACTCCACCACATGGCTACCCTTTCTGTAAAGATAACACATGATGACATGCGGCCTTGAGGAGGGTTCTGTGGCAATATCCATTATTTATTCCAGCAACTAAAGCACCCCTAGGGGAATATTTTTCAGGAAACGATATGCAGGGTAGTCAGAATTGTTTTATACTTGTTGACTAGCACTTAGAATATTTTTTAATTCCCAAAACCCAGGAGAAAAAATACTGTCGGAGAGCTGGGTGAAAAACCTTGCACTTAGAATATGACCTGCAGATAGAATAGTTCATATAAGATCTTGCATGATATTGCTCCATTTGATGGCATGAATGGAGATTTGCACTGCAGTGCATGATTACAATGAAAGAGACGGGAAGAGATTGATGAAAGAGTGGAAAAAAGAGTGTGAGGAGTTGTCGTGTATATTCTAACTGTTTCATCTGTGTATTTATTCTTACTGCTAAGATTTCAAACCCTGCATGTTTGACTCTGAGGGTATTCTAACTTCAACTTGCTTATTTTTGAATATTCTAACTGCTAGTCTACTACTATAAACTATTCCTGAAAGGGTTTGAGAGGGGGGCCTACTAAATAATCCCACATCTTTAAATAAGCCGAATCCCCCCTCGACGGTGACGACGTCCGAATTCCGCTCGCCGAGGCTTGCGTGTTGTGCTGCTTTCGAACTCTTCCGCGCTGGCCTGGGCGTGTGGGTCTTAACGAGCGGACCGAGCGGTTCAACGTGTGTCCACCGTGGGGATCAGCAGTGCATCAAGCATCTCAATGCACCTAGAGTCAGGTGGCTCAACCATGTTGCTAGCAATGAGAACGAATGGCATGAAGAGTCTGTAGGTGATTTCTGGAATTTTTGTTGGAGGCGCCCAGGTCATTGGTCATCGCCCGGGGTAGGCGGAGGATGCTGATGGAAAACATTTGTTTGAAAGGTCCAAAACCCAAAGGCGCACGGGTTCCCCCTGGGAAATTCGACGAAACAAAACCTAGCAATTCCAATAACTCGGCCTACAATCCCACCTAGCAAAACGTGCAATACTGGTGATTAAATCCCCGATTTGGATGGCAAGGGTGGGTTTAGTAATCAGCAGTCTACATGAACTATCGACTGTGAAACCAGTGTTCACCCTGCAAGAATCTAGGGGATGCAATGCAGACCGTTTTCATGGGAACGTGTTCTTTTTGATACATGTCTAAAGCAGATTCCCCTTTCGCCCTGCGGCAAATTTTAAGGTGTTTGCCGGTTTCCCTCCGCTGTACAGATCTGTACAGTCATACAGTCATGGAGGGCAGATCCAGTTGTTTTCCTTTACTATGAAGGCCCCCAGCATATACATAGCACTTGCCGAGTCAGCCTCCGGAGCGGCCAAAACAGTCCTCCTGCTCGGGAGGACCTGCATCCGCAACTCTTTGACTCATTGCCAACGTCCACGGAACACAGACATGACCAAAGGATTGTTTGCCAACCGGATGGTCTTTCCTGATGAGCTGCTCCACGCACCGGCGGAAGCGGACCAAAGTGGGGGGCTTCGCACGTGTGGGGTGCACGTCGAGGAGCCGGGCACCGTTTGGCAGCGCGACGTTTGAGGTGAATATGGCTCTCAGGACCCTGACCTTTCTCTTCATTGGTGGTGCATCCTCCACCTCCCGCCTTTTGAGCTGTCAGAGCGTCGATGGAGGCGGAGAGGAGATTGGGGAGATTGGGTGGGGTGGGAATCAGCTCCCCGACATGGACGCGTGAGGCAGCATTGATTTGGGAGTGTGTGGTTTGGGTTGCGCTCCTGCATTGTTGCCATGGACCCCTGATCAAACCACTGTGTGTTGTTCTAGATGAGAAGAGCCGTCATGCACGGGTCCATTGACGGGTCCATTGTTACAGTCGTTAGTCTGAACCGGGGGGGGTTCTTATTGGATATTTATCATCCAGGAGTCACATGGAGTTGGTTTTGAGCCCCATCCAGTGAGTGGATGTTCTGGGCACCCTTATCCTCCAAGTTCGGCACCCCTTCTCGTGTCTCCTGGATTGGATATTGTAATTGGATATAATTGGATCATTGTTTAAACAAATGATCGCTTGGACGACCGAATTCGCAGAGTCTTCTTCGAAAAGTCCAAGACCGCCGTACGCCGTACGCGCGGGTTGCGTGCAGCCTCGCTGTTTCGGGGAGTGAGCGCCCTCCCGAGCGACCATGAGAGTTCCTCTACCCCTCGGCGAGTGGGTCAAACGCCGCATGAAAAACGGGGAGTTGGCCGCATGGAAAACCCCCCACCCCCCGGTTCTTCGCATGGCCAAAGTACCATGAAGACGCCTTGTTTTAAACATCCTTATTAATGGTGGTCGTTTGGAATGATCAAGTACGCCATCCAGACGTGTGTTTCAGCAGTTTCACCTTTAGTTCATTTATATGTGCAACATTTGCATACCAGCACCTTCAAAGGGGTCTCCAATGAATACCCTACACTACTTGTGGATCTCGATTGAACACCCCTTTGAAGGTCTAGGTATGAGTACAGTACCTGCTTTTCACCCCAAACAGCACTGCAGCCGCAAACAGCACTGCAGCCAGTCGCCCCGTGCCGCACCTTCAGACGGGCACAGCTTGGGCGAGTGGGCCTTCCGCTCGGCAGTACCGACGCTTCGGTGCTCCAATGGAGATGGCCTGGGCTTCTGGGTGGACCTGGTGGGCTACAGCTGCTTTGGCCAAGCGGAGGGTACGGAAGGGTTGTGGGTGTTGGCCAAAGATATATACGCGCAAATACGCGCAAAGAAACCGGGTGCCGGACCGGCGAAGTCGGTGGTGTTGTAAGCCTTTTTTCCCGCTGCAACATCCTCACATCGAAAAGCGACTTTCTTCTTCGCTGCATGGGCGTATACTGGAAAGTTCCAGCAATGTGGGTGTTCATTTGCGAACACCTGGTGGATCAAACGACACGTCGCCCAAAAATCCTGAAGATATGCCAGCATCCTCCAACAAAGGGTTGGGAAGGGCCCATGCCCAGGTCAAACCCTTGGTGACCTGTGAAGTCGTATGGTGTCTGGTGATTGGTGCGATTCACTCTCCAACAGTGGTTGGTTCATCGGTTCATCCATGTTCATCCACGACCAACCACGGTTGGCTGTCCGGTCGAAGCCCAGAACTGTGTTTCCAGCCCAAAACTCCGAGTCGAAGGGTCTAGATTTTCGCGCAGAAAACGCATCCCAACACCCGCCCAAAACCACCGAACCGAACCAGGCCACGTGGTGTGTTTTCCACATGGAGCGCCCGGTCCACCCGTCGACCTAGCGTCGTGGACGAACCAGGTTCTGCTGTTGCATACGGCCTTTTGATCCCACTCTTTCTGGTGTCTTGGAAGAGACGTGGGAACTGAGTGGTGGAACTGATGTAGCCGTATTCCCCGAAGATGGTCTACCAATTATATAGGTGGTTTCTGAATTGAATCCACGTTTGGAGGAGGGGTAATTACCACATATATAGATTAACAATGATTAACATATGTGTCAGTGTATAGTCTGTATAGTATATATTTATATTATACAGTATACAGTACATACTACACGTATGGTTAATACATGAATACTTGTACATGTAGTCCATACTTAGTTCCATACATATATATGAGACAAAATCAATAACAACCATTTATTTGCAGACCATACCTAAGATAATTTCCAGTCCAAGCGTTTGCAAACATTTACAAACGTTAGGATTCAAGATTTGAAGATTTCAAGATTCTAAAGAAAGTTTATGTGGACACTTTCTGGATTCAAGAACTGGTGTTAGATCTTGAAGTCTTCAAGTCTTGAAGCTTGAATTTCTGGGATTCAAACCTGGTATCGAAGTCCGTTTTCTTGCTCCTCGTTTGGTCGGACCTTGTACTTCAGTTTCAGCATCATGGCCAGTCCGTGAGCATGTCGGGGCAGCATTACTTGCAGCTGATTCCTGCAGCCCCGGCCCGCTGTCATACCAAGCGCATGTCCATCCTGTTCCTCCAGTTGAAGATTGGTATAGGACAACACGGTGGCAGAAGCACATCGAGAATCCGGGTCCGAACCATTGGGAAGGGTGACATGTTTGGAGAGTCCCAGGGGTTTAGAGAGGCCTTCGAGGTCAGCAACATCCCTTCGTTCTTGGTGGTTCCTCGTTCTTCCCGCTCACGTGGGGCATGAATCCGTGGCGGGTCTTCTTGAAACCAATTTTTGGACAGCTAGGTGGCCAAAGTGCAAGGTGAGAATCACACTTGGCCGTTTTGGACGATGGCGCAAAAACCAACCGTCTGGACCTGTTCAAGGGTGCGAACTTGTTGGAACAAAAGGCCATCCATTTGGGGTTCCTGACCCCAAACTTGGAAATGCACAGTGGATTGCAAAAGGTGGTTTATATGGATCCCCATCTAAAAGACATCTTGGGTTTGTGCCATCTACTCTGAAACCACTGTAAAATCATTCTGGCACATTCAACAGTCGACATTCTGTTACCCCAACCCAGATCAAACTAAAGCGCCTCAAGCAGAAACAGATTCGCGCGTCGGAGGCTTGCCTAATGCTTTGGCAGCAACTTGGCTATAGCATTTGGAGGCTGAAAGGCGAAGGTCCATTCTGCCAACAAGTCCATTTTGTTCACCCAAAACTGTTTCGGGGATGTTTTGATTGTCTAGATACGCTGCTGTTTCCTGAGTTCTTTCCTTTCTGAACCACATCCATGTCGCAAAACCAGGATTTTGTTTCATGAAGCAGGGGTCGCCCTTGGCATTGAGAACTGCGGCATGAGGTCCTTCGCTTTGCAGGAAGCACGGCTCATATATGCCCACGCCACCGTGGAGCATGAGTGACTCGGCCACTGCCACCGGATGGATTTTGGCTCGGAATCGGCCAGCATTTGGTGGGAGGACATGTTGACATGTTCTACAAGTTGACCCAGTAGGGAGCCTCCAGTGGACCCAGATCATATTGTCCTAGTATGTCCTGAGATGGACCCGGTGAATAATTTTTCTATTCAATTGGACCCAGATCCTTCCCTCAGTCCATCTCAGTCCCCTCAGTGGCTCCCAACGGCCATCCCCTCAGCATGCTGCATCTCCCGTCCTCGGCGTTTTCAGGAAGAGCACGTTGCAACTGCAAACTCTCCAGGGACGGATGTCCATGGATGAAGTACTTCCCAAGCGCCTGCTCGCCGCTGGGGCGGACCACAAAGGGAACGACGTGGTGAGGGGATAGGGTCATACCGTTAGGGCATCCCCCCAGGTCAGTCGGCGGAGGTGGGACTTCCAGTTGGAGGGCATTTTTTGAGTAGATTAGATGTCACAAACCTCGAGACTTTTCCACGCCTTGGTTGCGATGAGAGTCCTTTTTAATCCACATTAATTACACCACACCCTTAGGTTGATTGTGCCTTGATTCTGTAGACAAGTCTGACATGATATGCCGTGTTTATTATTGTTCAGGCAGAGCTTTAGATTATGAAGCAGCCCCTGTCCAGCAGAATCTAATCTAGGATGAGCTGCATTAGAATGGAGTATGAAAGAACTTTAACAAGGACAGCAACTGGCCAAAATCAACCATCACGCGTGGTGTTCTTTATTGCATTACAGTTTGTAGTTCCTCGTCTCTAGGTGCAACATCGGGCTCCATAAGAGCGGACCTTAGCGTTTTTTTTTTTTTTTGGGGTAGGTAGTGAACGTTTTTAGAGGACTTGGAAACAAAGCCCTAAAAACAAAACAATGCCTTGTCTCCTGGGACTCAAGTGTCTTGTTTTTAGGTTTCCTTGAGGTTAAACATGGGGTGACTTGAAATGAAGTCTAAACGAAGCGCTTGACACTAAATTAAGGTGGATTTCTACTTCAGCTTATGAACAGGACATAGTGAAACCGGACAAGGAAGCCGGAAAACCGAAACGGGAGCCTACAAGTAGATTATCATGAGAGGGACATGGTCTTCCAGGGCCCATTCAGAGAATGCATCCACAACCCCAAACCCTAAACCCAAAACCCAGTCATCCACATCCCTAAATCCTAGTGCCCCCTAGGTATCCATATTGAAGCTTGTTCATGGAATCGTCACCCCAGATCTTTTGTGTTTCTTTTTCTCCCACTTCGAGGCGGCGGCCGCGGCCCATTTGTCGGTCCATTGCCGCGGGGAGATGCTCGTGCCCTGGTAGCGACCCGAACGCCGCGCGTGGGAGGTGTTGGTTTGACTGAGGTGCACAACTCCCAGAGGCTCCCAGGACCTGACTTGTAGGGATTTTTTTGCTTCACGGATGGCGCTGGGCGTCAGTTTCTGGAGGAGGTGTTTAAAAGATTGTACTGTTCTTTCTCCCCGGTGTCCTCCAGACAGGTGCTCAAGTTCAGGGTGAATTCATCCAAGATGTCCCGACAACATCCTGTTACCTGTTGCTTTCTGTTTGTGTCGCCTAAGCTGCAGCCTGAGATCATTTGTTTTCCGCCCATTTGGTGTGCCCTTGATTATGTGAATTGGGTTAAGTGACTTTAAGTCAGAAGGAAACCGAATGGAATAGACAGACATAACACTAACATACCCATGTTCTGAGTAGCCACCATTTATAGACCTGATTTGGGTGCATGAGCACCTTTGGTTTTGGTTGCTGTATTCAAGGTGGGGTGAAATTCGATGTTCCATGGGATTTGCGCTGATTCTTGGCCATTGTTCACCTCCTGTCACCCATTGTCATTCCAATACTTCCTCCCCACCCTGTCACGAAGCCAAGGCGCCTAGCTGTGTTCTCTTCTCATGTGTCAGACCTGGTTTTGGGCACCCAAACCATCCAGGTCTGAACCAATTGGCGGGGTTTGGGTTTGCTTCGCGTCGTCAACTGGGAGGTTCCAGGCCAAATTCGTCGTTTGCGTCGCAGACACCCAGCGGCGCGAGCAAACAATTGAACTTATCGTGGCATGACAAAGGGTTTGTTGCTGGGCGAAACCAGACTTTTTTATATGGTTTTGTGGGGCCCCCTGGCATGTAGTAGCAAGCTGACCCCACATCCGCCAATGGATCCAAATGGATGTGACGCTGGCAGTGTCGAGACTGGCCATACGCCGTACAGAACGAACGACCACAGGTCCTGGTGCGAGTTCGTTCTGTACGGCGCCAGGATAGGAGTAGTACGGATCGGTACTAGGATAGGTACGAAGTAGGACAGTACAAGGATAGGAGTACGAACTAGGATAGGACACCTGGTATACCGGAGAGGATCGCTTCTACTCCGGACCGAGTAGTTCGTTCTGAACGTACTGTCCGTATCGCCGCCGTGGCGTTGGTCGACCTGTCGAGCGGCGCCAGGTGAACTTGGAGGACGAAAAGGTGGTTCTCACCTCGTTGGGGCAGCCGCAAGGTGATTTTTACGAGGAGGAACCAATGGATCCGATGAAGCTCGTGGCTGACCAGCAGACAGCCAAGAACTTGGACAGGCTTCTTAGCACATGCAGCACCCGAACGTGCGTCCAAACAGGGGGGACCAGGGGTCACCACCGAACATGAGAACAGAATGGATTACTGATTACTGATTACCAGGGGCCTCAAGCTACCAGGGTTTGAAGCTCCAGGTTTTGACCCACTGGCAACTGTTCAATGGAGATCGAGGGTAGGTCTGGACTAGGCATAGACCAGGAAGACGACTGCCGGATCTAGGTGTAGCAGTTTGGGGACACCAAACCACCAGAACCTAAGTCAGAACCTATAATGGTTGCTCCGATGTTCCCACTGTGCACTAACAAACGCTTTTGTATGTCAAGACGTTGATTCACGACATGTCCTGCCATATTGGAACAACAGCTTGTCTTTCTCGACCAGGCCCTGCCAATCCCAAAACCAAGTTAAACCTGGTCCTTGACCTCCTTCACTACTGTTTTGCATGACCGGACTTCAGTACTGGTCCGCAAGACCGGCTTTGGCTGTGAGGCTCGGACTTCAATCATGTTTGTTATAAACCAGGGACCCCTGAAACTGGTTCCCCTAGCTAAGCATGCCAAAATGGCTTGTGAACACTTCTCACTTTTGCTGTTCATGGCCTCATGGTTTTTGGCATCTGAACACCTCCATTGTTCTTCCGCGGAACCAGTTTGCTTTTTTTAGGCCAGCTATAGGTCAAAAAGCCCTAGCCGCCTAGCCCCACCCTCTCTACACAGACCCTGGTTCTCCCTCCTCTCCCTAGATCCAATCTCCCAAAACACCGGCCTCACCGGGCTTCCTGCCATTGTTCTACCTCCCCCCAGCTCCCCAGGCTCCGCAGCAAGCGCCTCTTCGAGATGCTCTTGGAGCGTTTGATGCTCGCAGAGGCCCGTGGCAGCGATCGGCTCCTGACGGGCGCGCAGCCTCTCTTGTGGCCCAGCGGTGGAAGCGAAGTGGAAGGGACCGGCTGAGAGCAGAGTGGAGGGGGGTGGAGGGGGGTAGCATGTGGTCCGGGTACCCGAAGATCATTGAGGTCACGTGAGCATTGGGACCTTTGAAGGGTACCAGAAGGTCTAATGAGGTTCCATGAGTTCTTGTGTCATGGAACAGGGCCATTCCAGTGGTGCGGGATAGCTGATGGAGTGGAAGATGTTTTTTGTTGGAGCGGAAGGTTACCCAGGAGTGGATCCTTTTTCAAGACCTCAATGCGTTGGGATATGTTCATCATTGTTTATATCAAATGGTTTTAAACACATGGCGCCGATCATTGTTGATACCCGTCCTGGATATGTTGAGAATGATGGAGCTGTAATGTAACCTGCGATGATCCCCCGAGAGCACAAGGCTGGGGAATGAGCCAACGATGTTGATGTTGATGTGTGACATACCTACTGCTACCATTTGCTACCACCATGTTGTTTCTCCTGTGGTTGGTTTCTATAAGCAAGGTGTTTCTTTGCACTTCTGGATGTTGTGTTCATGTGAAACATACTTATCAGACATTCCCCTTTGCAAGGGCAGACGGTTGCTGTTCCACCCAAGCAGTGACTTTCATAGGACAAGTCAAACCTCAGCTATTCCTATACTCTAAGGGCCACGCCATCCAGTTCCATGTAATTGAGTCGTAGTGTAAGTTGTTTGAACCCAACAACCTACTTATATATACCCAGAGAGTCCTGGGTGTATACTTTGCCACCGCTTTAGGGTAAAGACGAAACATTGCCCTCAACACGCCGACCACGCCCTGACCACGCTGCCCACGCGTACCCTCCTGCCTCAACGGATCCATACGATATCATGTGATGGTCACGCTAGGTACCATGAATATTCAATATCATGTCTGCCCGCATGTTGTGAAAGCCTCTTTTATTTCTTGCCCACTGCGCGCGAGAACGATGACCGGTTCAGCCTTGGCAGATGCAAAATCAAAGCAGTACCACTACCATCCGGTGTTGTAGCATGCCAAATAGCACTCACAGCTACTGAATGCACCAAAGAAACTCGCGCACCCTCCATTGCATAGAAAGCATCCTGCCAGCAAAGAAAATAAAGAATCTTGGTTGTCGTTTTTTAACGCTAAGCTGGAATCATACACCATCGCTGCACCTATCATCGAGCTAGTACTTGTAAGACCTTGGCTACCTATCCAAGTTGCTTGACAAAGTTTTTTCGTACAAGTAGATCGATATGATGTCACCTGAGGGAATAGACAATCAAATTAAGTTGACTTATTCAACTATCAAGTCCTGAGTCTGGAGAGCTTCAGGCACCAAACACGCTGTTTGCGAGGATTTTGATGCCCTTTCAACGTGATGCCTGGGTACCGGTCATAAAGAATGCGCACTTTAAATGCCATGTGTGACGAACCGTTTTGGCAATAGCAATATTTGTGAATTAGATCGAGTTCATGGGTCCCATATAATGCAGTGCAGGCACGTTTCAACCACATCATTGCATCCTCATCGTGGAAGCAATGCACAAACCTTGGGTTTTCACCTGGGCTGAGCTGGGCTCAAAAGTTGAGTGTCTGAAGTGAATGTCACGATGCAATCCGCCGTTAATTAGATCTAACTGCATGCGTGCTTGCATGCGTGTGCTCTTTGAAACAAGGATTCATTATCGTAGCTGAGAGGCGATGATCTCGAACAGTTTTCAAAATATGGCCAAATGCCTCAATTCACCCAATGCCAACAGCAAAGGATAAGCTTACTTTGATCGAGTGATCCCATCCAGCATTTCAAGGATGTTTGAAGGCACCCAGGACTCTCTGGTTCTGTCAGTTTAGACAACATTTTTTAGCGGGTAAGCTTTTATCTTCAAAGTCAAAGATCAAACCCAACAATAAAAAGGTATCACCACCAAAAAAATTGTCAATGTGCAAAGGCTAATTGGACTTGTGCACACTAGCTTATTAATGATACAGCACTTCGTCTCTGACTGTACTGCAGAGCCATGCATGGCTTCACTGTTGCGGGCTGATTCTGCACTGCTGGCTTGGTTTGCTGTCCTTGCAGCCACAGTGCATGGATCTTTGGACGAAGTATGAAGTGGGCCTTGTTCATCCTTGGGGGGCCGGGTTGCACGGATTGATGTCTATCGATCTCGCCTTTTGAATCAAAACCCTGAGGAAAATGCGATGAACAAACGATTAGTTTAAGGGTGGCAGTGTCGTATTGCTGAAAAGTTTCTGGAAGGACATATGTGCGAGTTTGATGTGAGCGTCTATGTACTGCATACCAGCTTCATCCAAAGCTTTTGCTTGTTCGGGAGACCTTGTGTTCGTGCACATGCACACGGCTGCATGTGCAAGACTGGAGCTTTCATCCATGTTGTTGGTGATTCTTCTTTCAGAATGCTCTAGAAACGAGTTGCTTATATTTGTTTCACAAACATGGCATCACATCATCCAGTGCATAACCAGGAAACAAAAACCTCGGACATCTCTCCATGATGCCAAAGAAACGTGCAATCCCATTCCTGAGATCGCATGTATGGGTCCGGTGTATGAACATTAAACTCGCGCTGCAGGCACTGGACAATACCCATCAACCATTCTAAACGAGATTCACATTAATTGATAAAAGGATCATGCATAGGTAAGTAAGAGGCATCCTTGGGTCAGTTGAACTCCCACGAGCTCGCTTCACAGCATCGTGCAGCCATTCAGCGATGACCCGGTTGTTGTACGCTTTACCAGTCATCAAAAGTTGACCGTCTTTCTTCACCACCTTAGTTCAACCCCCTTAAGACAATGCGTACAAAGATTGGTTTCTTAGTTACGTTGGGCTAGAAGACTTCCGTTCAGCATAGTCTAGGCCACAACATGAGAATTAGTTTAGTTACCCGGTGAATCCACTCTGACATGACTGATGCCACTGGTATATTAGCTGGGGCACCAATCGAGGTGTGAATATCTTCTGGGAGTGAGCGATTTTGTGCATCTTTGTAAAGTCCTTGAAGTCGTCATAGGCTGTTTCAAGTTGCTCCCGAAAGTTGTTCCCGTCAAAGAACTGGTCTTCGCACAACATAACCCTGAGAGCCGGTCAGCCGGTGATGATTTTTTTAGCGATAAACCACTCAACAAATTTAACAATCTTGACCGAGCTCTTGTACTTGCAAGGTCGATTCGATACAATCTAAATGGGTGGCAACTTTGACAAGTTTTGACAAGTCACAGCACGGACGCATTGCTCCCATAGAGCAGCCCCAAATTGATAACGTGCATGCTGCACCAACGAATCATATCGTGTCTGAATCCTTTGAGGGCGATGAGTGGACCTAAGATTTGCAACCGCACTACCCAAGATCACCTTAAGACCGATGCCAATGTTACTAAAGCACTGTACCGACTGCCTGTGTTGAAGTCACTTGCGACACATGCACGTGCCACCTAGTAACTTGGTTGGTGAGGCATTTGTCTCACCAAGAATTGGGCCAGGGTGGAGTACTCCGTGTCCCATACACTGGAATCCCTTTCCACCTTGTAGTAAAGCCAGGGTTCATTTGAACCTGCTTCACACATGAAGCACACCGGCACCTTCACCCCGCCCTTCCATGACGATCTGAAAGAGAAGCAGTCCTTCAGCCACACCCAGTCTCCCCTCAACTCTGTGACGGCAAACGTCTTTCCTCGAACAACCTCTTGCCCCGCACGAGCCAGCTGAGGACCGGCGAGCCGGGCACCATCGATGTCACAATCGGGCCAGCGGCCCGTCAGCAGAAGGTTCATCCTCCATACAATGTAACGCCAAATGGCATCCAATGTTTTCCTTTGGAACATGAGTTCCTCTTGAATGGCAACAAGGAGGAACCTAGAGCAACGGATGCTGCGTGGTCTAAATAGCGGTAAGTTGAGGTAGATCCCCACCATTTTCTGATAATCACGAATTTTGCAGGCGTCCCCATATAAACCACAGGGAATTGAATTGCTGCTTCCAGGATGCTCGCATGCCCATTTGGCAGAGATCTCCGCAGATCGGTAATGACCCCAATAACTTTGAATGTCTTTGTCACTGATTGAAATTTGTACCTTGTTGAAGATAAAGTCAATCACGGATAAGGGGTCGAGGACTTCAAGTTCTTCAATGACATAGCCCTGAGGAGATCTCTTGCATTTGATAGGAACTTTGATCGTTTGGCTTTCCTAGGATTCACACACGCATTCAATTCGACCGTCTTCTAAGCAGTGTGTGCTTGTGAAAAATAAAAGGTTCCTATGGGACGCAGCTCGCATCGTGAATCATAACAAAACACGTGCCAAGAAGCAATGCCCGTGTGAGTAAATCTCCAAAAGTCTCTGGTCGTATTGCAACCAGAAAAAGCAGCCATGCGTCGGGACCAAGGGTGGATTGAATCACCAGCTTCCTCAATCAAATGCCACATGTTTAGGACTTGAGTTATTGACTCACGGAAATGAATTCTGATATTTTTGCTTTGATGTGTATCATTTCAGTGTTTGGGAAATTACCTCTTAGCCTTGGCCCCATAATCCAACTGTATAACGGACGTGGTCACGTGGTCATAATTAAGAAAAGGATCCAGGAGATGGGCTCTCGCATTCCGGACTGCCCTGGAAACGCTGGAAACCTCAGAGCAGTAATGGTTAATCATTGTTCTGTCACTGATATCCTGCTGAATGTTAATTTTACAATCTGGAAGTGAAATAGCGCAACCCTCTTATGACCCGTTTCACTAGATCACGCAAAAACCCAAAACCACGCCACAAGCCACAAGCCCTCGTCCACACATCTGAATAGCCGAGGTGCTGCTGACGCGACATCATCTATTGCAGCTTGGGCGACCCAAGCTGTGCCATCACCTGCGAGGGACATGGCCAATATGGGGAGGTGTTGGGGGTACCAGGGGGTCAGGCAAAGCTCGAAGTAATGACCCAAACGGAAAATCGACGATGAACATCAAGTTTAAATTGAACTGATCCGTTGAACATGTTCTTCTCGGTCAAACCCAATTAATTTACAATAATAATGAATGCAGTGGCCGGAATCAACATCCTTCGAAGATACAGGTCAAGTATTATCTAGAAATTAGTAGCGTAGGTTCAATCGATAGAGAACCGATCTTTTTCACGAGGTCCGCTTAACATTTATTAGACAGATCAGTCGATAGTCGATCATGTCATGTGCAATCCCACCATCCCACCATCCCACATATACAATTTGAACAACACGTGCGTGCACATGCAATGCACACCTGGTTTTCCTTCGCTTCGCTGCGTGAAATCACACAGGCGCATGATTCACCTAAGTTCTTTTGCTCGCCATGCCCTGCTAAGCCTAAGAAAGGCAAACCTTCACAACCCTGACACCCCACACCAATGTTATGATTCATGTTCATAGTCGGATCTAGGACCTTCAATTATGCTCTTTGAGTATCAAACATTTTTGTAGGGTGTCATCCCCACTTGAAGGTAGTTGCCACCAAAGGCCAAGAAAGGTTCTAACCTACCGGATTGCAGAGATCGTAATGATCTGGTGCGCCCCCACGTTCACAACCAAATTCATGCATACCGTTCAAGATGGATTATAGTACAGCAATGGGACAGGATTTGTTCACCACAAAGGAGCCCTTAAAGGCTTGAAGGTACTCGATTCTGTCAGGCGAGGGTGCATCTAGCCAAACCAAGATCTCCAAGGGACTTGTCCCTTGCTTTCAACAAAACCTGGGCTCAAGTGGCATTGAAACACTACTGCATGCCCATCGCTTTCTTGCGGGCGCTGTAATCAGCGGAATGAGTCCGTGCTTCAAGCATCAGCTTGTCCATTTGCTCCGCCTGGGATTTGGAACAGAGATGGCACAAAAAAAACATCATATCATACCACATCGACCAGTGCATTTGGTTTTGGGTTGTGGTGTAGTTTCGTTATGTTCAATTAAGTATTTAATCACACCTTGAAACCTAGTTTCCAGATCCAATTTTTCTAGTTTGTTTAAACAACAGTCCGCTGAGGTGTCGATATTTGTAACTTTATTTACATAGCTTGGACGAAAAAAAGCAAAAATAGTGAAACATATCAGATCTGAGCCTGTCACAGATCCATGACCACATGCACAAACCAACTATTATCGAAAAAGCTTCACATCAAGCTTCATAATGATGAGAATATATTTGCCTTGACACCTATCGAAAACATATTGTTGCTCATGCCTCTCTCCAAGCCAAGACACTGAATCGATGTCCAATGCATTCTGAAGCTTTTCCCTGGCAGTTTTCAAACTCGCGCGTTGAGATGTAGCCTCCTTGATCAACGCATCTTTGAGAACTGGATCCGTCCTAAGGTATCAGTGCGGGATCTGGCGGCTCACTATGATGCTAGCTTCATTGTACATGCATCTTGGAGCAACTTACAAGGGAAAAGAAAAACTTGCAAAACTCATCAAAACACAAGTTGATCGGACACAAAAGACAAAGGGGACCCTAGTTGCTTGTCCTTTAAAAGCTTTTATAACTTCCCTAGGCCTATAGGTAATATATGTGCACGTGTATATACATAATGCGCATGCATGATGGGATAACGTCTTAGTCTTAGTTACATTCATGACGTTCAAACCTGTCAAATCCAGAAGATACGCTTAGAACATGACATGTCATATCAGGGCCAAGGCTCACAGATTGTGCATGGGTTTCACGGCGCACTGTGTCCCCAATGCAAGAATCCAAAGTAGCCACTTCCTGTCGCGATTGGATGGTGGAAGGTGAGAGTGTGCAGTAACGTGAAGGTGCCTACTGCCTACCATAGCTAGCACAACTTAGAATGAAACTCGCTGGCAAATATCAATCACAATTAGGCCCAGAATTCTTTATGGTCCATGATATCAGCTGTGATGCGCAATGCCACTTATTAAAGCAAAATTCAAGTTTGATTCATAGAGTGCATTCCCTATAGCGCAGCGCCTTCTTTGCATCTCCTCGCCTTTTGCTGAGCGCTGCTCGCTTCTCTCTCTGTTTCTCTGCCTCGATTCTCTTCTTCTCCTTCTCGGCTTCCTTCTCTTTCTTCTTTTTTTCCTTTTCTAACTCCTTGAGTTTCTTCCTGCTGTCTTTGTCTGCATTGGCACCTGGTCCACTTGGCGGGATAGTTCCTGGACTACCACCGCCAGCACCGGCCACCCCAACTGCATCAGCATCCTTGTCATCATTGTCTTTCACCTTTCTCTTCTTGCTTTTCGAAGAGTCTCTCTTGGTCTTTCGACCTCCCTTCTTGTTTCGCTTCTTTGCACGATGGCTGCTTGAAGAGCTTTCAGATTCGCTGTCAGATATGGTCTCAACACTTGACGAAGAAGACACACTCTTGGTCTTTTTCTTCTTTGTTTTTTCTGACTTTGACTTGTTGCTCTTTTGACCATCAGTGTCACTGCCTGAAAATAAGGTCTCGACAATCACGTCTCGTTCCTCAGTCTCATAGGACTCATCCCACACCAAGAACAGCCTCATGTCAGCCCTCAATGGGGCATCGGGGTGTGGCCGAATGTGCGTCTTCTTCATATGCGGATCACTTTCTTTTCCTTCCACTATCTCTCTGGCTATGGCTTTTGCCTCTTCCAAAGTCCTCCCTGGCAAATATTTGGCCACTATGTCTGATTCCGTCATCCACCGTCGGCCTCCTCGTTGGCTTTCCTTGTTCCGCTCTCTCATGCGAACGACAAAGCTTGAGTTTGTCCATGACTCTCCACACTTCATCCATTCCTCGAAGAGAATGGCAAACTGATCAGTTTTCCTCCCTCCTGTTCGCGCACGCGCACACAGACTTGTCATGCATGTGCATATAACCACCAGCACGGAGCATCAGTGGGAATCATGAGAATGCATGCAACGCATAACTGGTTTATGTCATTCACATAAACTAAATAGCACGCACATATGTCGATCTATCTGATGTCATCGATCCGTAGGCTCAATTCCGGTCCTGAGGCTGACCTAGCGTTTTCACCCAGCATGACAATCTCAGCAGGAGATTTGGAACCTGAGATCTAAGCATGAACAATTATTCTAATTCGATCACACGGCACAATGTGCAAATAAAATCAATTGGAATTCCCTTCATACGACGTCGATCAACACAAGTAAACTTATCCTATATAGGCAAAATATTTAGCAAATGCAAGTTACTCTCCAGGCTGCGATAAAATCGCATCCTTCGAGCGTGTGCCTCTTTGTTACGAACGCGGACCTTGGGTTGATGATGATCTGGTGCACTTCGTGAAGAAAGGTGATCGTTCTTGTGCGAAGGCAAAGCTGCCTTGACTGTCTCTGCCACCATTTTCTGCATATCGGTGATGTCAAAGTGGTCAGAAGTCTGAGCCCGATTCAGGAGTTGGTGAACGGACTCCGGTGCAGGTGATGCCAATAGTCGTGGAGGAATGGGGATCTGTGCCGGAATTGCATTTGCAACTGCTGGTGGGCTATCGTGCAGTTCTTGTTTGACCTGTTCTTGCTTGACACAGGGTGGTGGAGCTGCAGCAGCTACTGCGGGCTTTGGGTCAGCGGGCTTTGGGTCAGCGGGCAGGTGAGGCGAGGTTTGGTTCAGTTCATGTGTCTTCTCATTTTGTTTCTTCTTGATGGTCGGCTTCTTGATAGTCTTCTTCTTCTTCTGACCCTTCGAACGCGCACTCTTCTTACTCTTGGAATTATTATTCTTCTTCTTCTTCAGTTGTTTTGGCTGAGGCTGTGCTGCTTTCGTTGGTGGTGCTGGTGTCACCTCTTCCTGTTGAAAGACCTCCACTGACTGTATGCCTTTGGAGAGCAAAGGTCGTGGGGTGAGTGACGGATTAACCTTCTCTTCGGGGGTGGCGCCACCAAGCGCCTGAACACTAGCCGCAGCCATCGCACGAGCCTGTTCATCAGTTCCTGGAACAGTAGAAGCAGGAGAAAGTGCCGGGCTAGCAGTGCTCACTCCACCTGCGCACAAATTCGATCGATCGAGTGATTTACAGTGCACATGTCAAAACTCATGCACGTGCATGCATGGCCACATTGTGCAATGATTAAATGCTACATCATCTCGTGACTAAGCTAATCTAAATTAATTTAAATCTCTGAGCAATTAACTTGAAGAGCTGACCAACTGCACCCCCAACCTTCGGAAGTTGATGGTGTGAGCTTCTCAGGTGGCGATTTCAAAGCTGCTCGAGCTGCGGGATGGCAAGATTCAGGCTTCCACTGGCAAGCCCGAGACTTGGCTGCAGCCAAGAATTTCTTGGCTTCGTCTATGCCCATGGTCAAGCCGCGAGTGTGGATGGACCTATATAAACAAATATAATAAATATCAACTGAGAGCGCTCCATTGGACGATGGTCAGTAGTTGCTAGGGGAGTTGCATCACTCATGCATGTTGATCTAGAGTTTGTTGCTATCATGATCACATATCATCCCTAATTGATCTAGAACACCACCGAGTAGAGCCCCTGCGATGTACAGTGGAAGACACGATTCAACTGGCTGGGCCACGCACTGTTTTCTAGACATGTTTCCAAAATGGTTACGTGTTTGTTGGCCGTTTGGGCAAATGTACAAACCCGATGAGAGTCATTTGTATTTAATGACAATTTATCAGTCTGGTACCAAAATATGTAATTTTCAAGGATTTTGAGACCACGGCAATGTTAGGTGTTTCCACGGCAATGTTAGGTGTTTCCACGGCAATGTTAGGCCGTACCACGCTGGGACCACGCCTGGACCACGCACCCCTCCAGTTTATTTTTGCTTTTTTGCATCATGAAGTGGTCATGTTGGCATTTGTTCAGCCACACCACTTTCTGTCATCACTATTTGCACGTACACCCCATTGACATTTGTGCGAGTCAATGCACGCAAATATCAGTTAGCATGTCTCTAATATTCATGATGGAATTGACAGTTCTCTGGTGCATTGTGGGTGTGAAGTCCAATTATGAATTAATTGGTCACGCTAAGGGGACATCAGTCCAGTCCCTCACGGAACTGGGGCCTGTATCGTCCTGCATCCCGCTCTCCCTTCAAGAAAATTTTCAGCTCCTCCAATTTGGCCGGCGCCCACCAGGTCAATGGCTTGGCCTTGCAAGCAACTTGGTGTGGATCGGAGGAGAACTTAGCTATCGAATCATGACCTTAAACATGACAAACACGATCGACCCAATATGATCAACCCAGATCAAATAATTTTCGTACTATGATCGAATATGATCGAATCTATTTTGCTTAATCCTGGCAAAGTGGCATGCTTCATAGCATGGGCGAGGGTTTCAGGCCGCACAAGTCCATCATCACCATACAAGGCTGCGCGGAGATCACCAGCATGTTCTGCCTTGTTTGTGCCGACGGCAGTGTAGGATAGTGTACCGAGACTTCCTATGAACATGTCGTATTCACCAAAAAGAATTCAAATGAGATCGATCAATGGTTCAGATGGCTCAACCGGCTTGGGTTCCCTTATCGTCAAGAAGCCACGTAAGCACAATGGAGCTCGTGAAATCGTTTTCCATACTTCCTCGGATAGACCTGTGATGCTTTGAGTTGGGGCCCACCACGCCTCAGTTGTAGGGGAAGTCATGTCGGCCAAATTCATGACGCATATGCTTTATAGATATAGATCGAAATTCATAACACATAGTACATGCTTTAAATAGACCTGATCGATCGATAGTTTATCAACTAAGTACCAAACACTTTTCGTTTTCCAGTAGAACTCTCGTAGTGGATGACAATGGCCCCATCCGTTGCATTGGCCTTCTTCTTCATTTTGTTCTGCTTTTTGCGAGACAGCTTCCGGTATAGTCCTCCAACATAGGGCCTCAGAACGAATACATGCTCGCATGTTTAACATGCACATGCATGCGTTGGGGAGCCAGGTAAATTTGACTTAGTATTTGACTTAAACGGAGAAGCCCACTTGCACGGCACAGCAGCACTGGGTCCCTGGACGCATTCCCAAACGCCGTGGATGGCTTTGGCCGCGAATGCCCCCAGGTGCCCATCCAGCTGAGCAGCGGAGCTGATCGATCAAATAGTCTAGACGCTTGTCTCCATCAAATGACATGGAGGATCGATGGTAAGATTATTGGGTGTCACTTCATGTGTGTTTCATGTGACTTTGCATGCCCTGCACAGTAGCGGTCTGAGAGTCCCCACTAGTTGATATGTCTCCATTCCATGGTTCCACGAAGCAGTTTCGCGATGTTCTTGAAGTACTTCACATGCTTCATAAGTGAACTCCGTGGTTGTTCAATAGTTACATGAATGCATCTGGCAATGCAAAGTATAGCAACCAAGGCAAACCTCGACATGATCCTTGGTTAACAACTTATGTGACACTCTTCAAAACGAAAACTACAGCAGTGGCAGCAATGAACAATTCTAGAATAGAATACACAACGGCACCAATTCAATTTGAGTTTCGCATTGGCCTCAACCACAGATGGCTGTCGTTTGTCACCCATGATGTTCTGCTGGGACCTAGAAGAAGTCCCGCGGTTCATCCACACCCAGGAACTACAGGGCGGTCCGCCATGCAGTGCTCCATCCTCGACCAGCCTAAGTGCTCCCTGGACTAATCGAAGAAATCCGCACCTGGGCCATCGGAATTGAAGGAGACTGGTGGCGTGGTCAGGTATAAGGGCTGTGTTGATCTGATCGGATCATACCCAAGAGAGGTCAAGAAAACACCACACACTAGTGCACTGCACTAAGAATAATTAGGGCCAACTGTACTACAGTTGGCCCTAATTATTCTTTGCGGTCCGTTGACCTCTCTTGAACTATATAGCATGGGCGAATGGTCATGAATATATCGCGGAAGTCAAAGACGGTCAACAATTCTCATTGGGACTGTGCTTCAGCCCGTCCTAATACAATAAAGCACGTATCATAACAGATCTGATCGATGCTAAGCTTCATTGAGGCCTCGACACTGACAAGATGTCATTCACCTTGGGGCGGTCTTCCACTTCATAGGTCAGCCTGAGACGGTACTATGCACTATATGAAATATGAGTTCATGCATCATGAATGTTTGCAATTTGCGGAAATGCTATGTCGCTGTGAAGCACATGAGATCATCCATGACACATGGGTCCCGTGAGCATCTCAGTGAACGCTAATCTACAGCAATCTGTCTGACACTGAGCACCTGACGCCTTGAGGTTGTGGTCACCTTAAGTTGAGACTGCTTAGACGTGCGCGCGCACGACGAAAACTTTACCAGATCAATCAGTCAATCGAGTTTGCACTGGCAATTTTCCTCATGGGTTGGCCATGATCCAAGAAATGCGGGTTACTAATCGGTTCAAAAAAAGGTCATAAATTTAAGATAATTTTTGGACCATTTCTTGCATCATGGCCTTGCCCCTGCCCAACCCAAGGCATCAGTATTATCAATCAACAAATGAAACGATCTATCAACGGATGTCCTGGGTCTCATGCGGAATGCGGCACTTACAGCCCCCTTTCCAGCAAAGACGTCGAAGGCAAAGATGTCCTGATTGCTAAAGAATGCTCATGTAGTTTTGACACACTAGTCGAACCGGTTGGATGATGCTTGATGATCATCTCAGGATCAAGCCCGGATGCTGCTTGGGGAGTCGATCTGGGTCGCCTGGGCCACATACTCCGCCGCATGGATCCTGGGCATTGATGGACATGCATTGGTTGACGTGATCGGACCTGTAACTGGCAGTAGTGCACATTGTCAAGTTCGGGTGACATGAACGAATGCAACACATTTAATTCCTAATCAGTGGAATCAAACTTTGATATGACACAAGCTTCAGCAGCAGTGGTGCTCCCAGGATGAGCATCACCGTGATTGCATTCGGCGTCAATGCCAAAGGGGATATCGATGCGTTGCTCCGAGACCGCATCATGAGGGTCTACACCAACAGCGAAACCAAGCTTGAAGGGGCTCCACGGGTGACTTGAGCAGTAGTCGACAAAACTCTCACTCAGTCAGATGGTTTCCTGATGTTTCCTTCTAGAATTAAATTGCATGAGTCTACAGGACATTATAAGCCTATTTGTTTCCAGACCTGAGTGCACTGGTGCAAAATACACAACTGGATGACTGCCAAGACATGCGCATGCACGTGCGCATATATCGATGGATCGGGTTTTGGCAGCAGTTCTTTTCAAGATCACGTTCAATGATCATATCAATCCAACCTACGTCAAAATTCTAAGCCATGGACAGCCTTTGAAGGATCGTATCCCACAGGTGGCACGAGGCAAAAATGCACTAGTGGTTTATACACGGGATCGACCTTGTACAAAATGGAGGAAAACAACTTGCACAACACCTCTAAGAGATCGATCCAACCCTTGGAGCATCCATGGCACGAAAAGGAGCTCACATCCTCCCCAAAATTCAGCTTTGCTGAACAACCGGTAGACCCTCAATGTTTCCAACGGGCACCCATCCAGCGGTCATCATCGCCAAGTGCCACCTCAAACATGGTGCATGTATCATGGTGTATCCGGGAACAAAGTTTTCCTCTGAAGATTGTCAGTCTTCAATGATTACAATCATGAACATGTAACCCACTGGACTTTGAGAACGGGTTCAGCAAACATCATGCATGTTTCATTAACAATTAATTTGCAAAGCTCACTTAGATCGCACTTAAATTGCTGATCTGATCTGAGGTTGGTGCGCTTTGGGAAGGCCCCTTCCGGTCCAAGTGATGGAGACACCTTTCTGCACCTCATTGACCTGGCACCAGGGCAATATGGGCATGGCAAAAGGTTGTGAAATGTAATTCATTGCTCGGTTGTTCATATGCTTGAAAGCTACCAGCTCAATCATGAGAACAACATGCAAGGCTAGTGGTCATGCCTTGAGATTGCTTTTGGGATCAAACTCATTGATCTTCTTCACGCGGTCTGCATCGACTTTCATGATATAGAAGTTGCCCGCACCACGGTCCAGCCTCAAAACATTAAACGTTGTCATCTATCTCGAGTATATGTGTGTGTCCAATCACTCATGACTATGATAATTTGAGGCCACTACAAAAATTGTATCGACAGCGGTTCCTCGACCTTGCCAGTCGCCGGTAGGTCTTCAGGTGCACGAAGCATGAAACTCCTGAGGGTGTACCAATCCCAACCCTCCAATGTGCGACTAGCTAGTATCACATGAATGAGAATTGATCAGGTTTAATGAACAAAAGGCCTTAGTCCAAGTTCAGATCTTAAGAAGACATGGTAGGCTCAGCCTTTTGACTCGTTTTTGAGAGTTCATGTTAAAAGGGTCTTGGTGGTCCCATATTGTCTTCTCAGGATGGCGCTTCTTGGTGGTATAGCCATTCGGCAGCTTGAGATGAGGCAAGTCCGCATGCTGGGTAAGCAAGGCCGCATTGGTCTCCTCACGGCTATTGATCCATGCTTGATGGTTCGATCATGCTTACGTGCACGCACACACACACAGTCATGTGCGGCATATTTTAGTTAATAATGCAGATGACAGAAGCAGGCAAACACAATACATCTATGATGTGCATTGAGAATCAACGATGATGAATAAAAAGGTCCTGGTTTTTCTTTTGGCGCCTTTTCTTGGGAGAGGTCTTTGGTGTCTTTTTGGGTGTACGCTTTGCCTTGCTTTTGGATGGTGTGTCTTCTCCAGCTGCTGGGCCTGCTGAACTGGATGCACGCTCCCCATCTTTCTTCTTCTCATCACCTTTCTTCTCATCACCTTTCTTCTCATCACCTTTCTCCTCTGCATCACCTTTCTTCTCCTCACCTTTCTTCTCATCACCTTTCTTCTCCTCACCTTTCTTCTCCTCACCTTTCTTCTCCTCACCTTT